ACTTTTTGTAATAATTTACAAGGAAACAAATAACAATTACAGCTAAAAGGAAGACTGCAGTTGATAATTATTCACCAAATTTTTCAAATGAAAGAGTTAATTTGATTAATCACATTGATTGACAGGTTGTTGGTAATATGGATGTTCACAAGAAGATGGTAGTCGATGTCTAACAAGATCTTAATGAACCAAGTCTTTGAACTATTTATTATTCTTATTTCCACGAGGAGACATTTTGTAAAAACAAACAAACAATGATATTCTTGACCTCTATCTCTTGTGGCTGCTGCTGCTGCATGTTGAGAAAGCATTGTTGCAGCGGTTGGTTGATTCACGTGGCTACATGAAGGAATCAATGAGGTGCTGTCCTTGCTAGAACAAAAGATGCCAGCTAGAAGCAGATGCGAAACGTAAAGAAATAAGAAAATATACGACTATAGTATATATATTATACAGTAAGCAACTTGCCACTCACAAGAATGTCTGTAAAATGGAAGCAGTTATTATGGTTAGAATTAGGGAAGACTTGGGTTTTGTTGAATTTTATTAACTCTGACTCTGAGCATTCATATGTAGCATTTTATTGGAAAAAAAAATGAGTAAATATGATTGTCCCATAACCCAGCATGCATGCACAAACACGTGGTTATGTTTTACAAACTCTCTTAATTTTTTGCTCCTCTTAATGTTCGTCAAACTGACTGCCCAAAATTATTAAAATGTCTTTCCTTTCAGCTTCCCATTTTGCTTGTACTGTAGTCCTTAAACATAAACAGCATGCTCTTGTCTGCTTGCCTAGATTTGTAGTTTTTTGATTAATAGACTCATTCAGACACTGACAAATACAACAGAACTATGTCAAACTGAAATTCAAACAAGACAAGGCACTAAGCTTCCATATCATTCAGAAATGCCAAGAATTTTAGTTTATTTTGACAAACTTACTGGGTGAAAAGTGAACTTCTTGTCAAGAGCTACCTTGAAATACACATATATCTGTATCTCAAAGCGGTTTTTAATTGATTAATACAGTTAATTTTAGTTCAGCTTAGATATTATCATTGCCTTGTACAATTCATAAAAAAGGTTTTATGAAATTGATGACTCTTGTTTCATTAGCAAGTGAATATTCTAGGTGAATACTGGACCCAAATTTTCCTCTCAATTTAATAAAAGTATACTTGGTTAAGATCCCCTGTCAAAAAATCCTTTTCATGCCCTTATGTCACATTTACAAATGCGTTCACTTTTGCTAGGTTTCTGTTCAGTAATAGATCACAGCTGACGTCAAAATGTAGTTTAAAAAAACTGACACACAAGATACAGCCAAGTGTGTCACTGATGTACTTAGCACATTTTGACTCCAAATTTGATATATTACTGTACAGATTTACAGCAACCCCAAATCATATTTGTTTGTGTGATAAAAAAAAAAAACCTAAACTAAATGTTGTGGCATCATCTTTATGTATGTCCTCTGATAGATCATAGGTAGGAAACAAAATTAATTAACTAAATTAAATCAATTAACATATGATCCATTCCTAACATTATAGTAAGTGAGACTGTCCTTCTGTGCCATTTGTCAGATTATATCATTGGAAATGGTTGTTAATGCTTATGGCTAAATCATTCATTTTAGTTGCTGGCATTTGCAAGCACATCTGTGACAAATTCAGTTGCCTTAATGGTTCCTTTAAGAAACCAGGATTTTGTTGT